TTCATTAGTAATTAAAATACAAAAGTCTCGCCTACAATAATTGACCTTGTGTACGTCTACCATATTATGACCTCGTCTACGTATCTACTTTATATTTATATCGATAAATTGATTTTATTTTTCATAGTACTATTATATTCAGAAATAATAAAGTAATTTTTTTTTATATCATAAGGTGGCAAACGAGCGAGCGGCCACCTGAAATCGCTGAAATAGCGAAGTGACCGTTGCCCATAGACATACGCAATTTCATATGCGTTGCCTACCTTTAATCGACGGAGGAGAGGATGCACTGAATGAATACATTTTCCCCTTCCATGCATCCTCTCATCCGGAAAGTCCACTTCCACTTCTCATCCTTTACCTATGAGAAAAAGGGTAGGAAGGAAAAGAGGACTAAATTAGGCCTCCGGAACGAATTCTTTTTGCAGACATTTTTCCTAGAACTTTCCAGAACGATGAAAAATTTATAATATTATGTTCAAGTTATTGCAACCAACACTCTACAATTTTATTTCAATTGTACTAGCTGTCGCCCGCGACTCTGTTCGGAATTAAAAAAAAGAACTTAATTAGTAGTCCAAGTGTTCTTTCAGACTATGTTCTACATCCATGACAAATTTCAGCCAGATCCATACAGCCGTTTTGGAGAAACTCTAACAAACATCCATCCAAATATTCGCATTTATAATATTTGTAAGATATACGAGTACATAGAATTGAAATGCTTGTCGTGAGTCATATTAAAATTACTGTTGACACATATAAGAGCTCATCTCGTCTGTTGAAACAAGATAACTAATAACATTACTGAACAGATTTTCATATGGTTACAAAAGACGGATTTATGAGGATGCTGGATTCATTTGTGTTCTATATAAATGAACTGTAATAAAATTATTTTATACATTTATTAAAAGTTTAGTTTTAATATATCAGAAAATATAGCGTAATGTATCTAAAGACCCGAAATTAAATAAAAAAACGATTGTAAAGTAATGAATTATCAAGTTACTCCAAATTAGTTATCTTCTTACTAATATAATATATGCGAATGTTTACATGTTAGGATGTTTGTTCGTAGGTATCTCCAGAACGGCTCAACTGTACTTATTTATTTATTTTTGGTCCACGCGGACGGAGTCGCGGGCGACAACTATATAATTTTAAAAACAAGTGAACTCGATTTCATCTTTTAAAAGCTGTTTAGGATATTGGAGGTCACAGTAAAGAGGAATTTCCTCTTGTTTGTCCAGCAAAAATCAGATATTAAAATGATCCTCTTTGGCTTTTTCGACATCCATAAATTAACATATATTTCCTCGTCGGTTAAGGTTCCCATACACGGAGCGCTTAAAACAGTCGGTATCGACAACTTCAGACGGTCAGCATATGGCCTTCTGCATTTTCTGCACACTACAACTACAAGCTTCATGTATGTCCAACGTCAATTGCTGATAGTCCTACACCGACTGCATTAAACGGTCCGTGTATAACTTTTTTAAGTCGTAGACTTCCTCTAATGACGCTGCCATTCACGTTTGCAATTTAAATTTTCCCCACGTCTCTTTCATTATTTAACCTTTCAAAATAGCAACCCACGAGCATAGAGAGGAAATATTGCTCTTCTTAGAAACATTACTAATATTATAATTGCGAATGTTTGGATGGATGGCTGCTTGTTAGTGTCAATGCATGGATCTTGCTGAAATTTGGCATAGATGTAGAACATGGCCTGGAAGAACATATCGGTGAGCAATTGTTTTTTTTTTTAATTCTGCTCGGACGGTGTCGTGAGCGACAGCTAATAGTGGCAAATATTTATAAAAAAAAATATCATCTCAGGATCAATAATCGATAGTTAGGATTGTGACACAATGACCTAAATTGGTACATCCGAATGTTACAGTTTGGGAGATAGTTTTTGCAAGCAAAGTATTTTAGTTTATGATAGTAGTCGAATCCTAACATATACATATATTCAAGGTTCCTTTTATAAACTGAGATGTTAACAATAATTGACCTCGTTTTTGGTTTATGTTGTCTATTGTTTTATAAATATAATATTTTTATTTGTTTTTTATATATTTTTTTTATATTGAATAAGTTGGACCACGACCCCACCTGATGAGAGTGATGATGTGCTCGACAGATGGTACGCGATAGCTTAGTAAATGCCTATTCACTCTACTCTTGAAGGATTCCAGGTCATACATACGTATACAATCTCTTAAATTATTTTAGGTTGTGTTCTCAATCATCATCATCATCATCAGCTCACTATACGTCCCCACCGCCCTCGGTAACTCGCTAACTTAGGGTAGGCTCCGAGCCCCTGCTCGGAGCCTACCCTAAGTTAAGGGTGATTAGGCCATAGTCAACCACGCTGGCTAAGTGCGACTTGGTTGACTTCACACATATCTTTGAATTTCTTGTCAGATATGTGCAGGTTGCATCACGATGTTCTCCTACACCGCAAGAACGTCGGATAAATGTACATATGTAAATCGGAAATCGAAAAAAACTTTGGTACATGGCGGGATTCGAACCCAGAACCTGCAGATTGCAAGTCAAGTGCTTGATCACTGAGCCACCGACGCCTAGTTGTTCTCAATATTTGTTACTAATGTTACATGAAATAAATACGTTATTATTAATAATATATGACAGATTAAAACTGATTTAATTTAATACTATATGTAGTAATTATAACTGCAATTGATTACCCCTTTCCGCTCCAGTGGAGTACATGAAGTAAATTCATTAAGGGAGTTGACAGTTTCAAAGCTATTCGCGATACATAGTTCTTGTATGTGGCACTAATTAAATAAAAGCTAACTTGCGACTACCCAACAGTTATACTACACTGATGGAATCTAACGTATGACTTTCATTTGAAAAGTTTTTTTTTATAAAATTTTCAGATATTAATACTACGAGTAACATTTTTAATTTTAAAACTTATACAGCTTTCAAATATTGTGTCATGGATTATAAAATACTAGATGTCGCCCGTGACTCCATCCGTGCGGTACTAAAAAAAACTTATTTAGTAGCCAGTGTGTTCTATCAGACTATGTTCTACATCTATGCAAAATTTCACCGAGATCCGTTCAGTAGAGCAGTAGAGTTCTTTAGACACCTTTAAACATCCGTCCATCTACCCAAACATTTGCTTTTATAATATTAGTAAGATTAATTGTTTAATATAAAACATTAGAGAAAAGTAATTTGCAAAAATCTCTTAAAGTTACGCGTCCATTGTCCCGCACCGGACACACCGCACTCACGGATGCGGGGGGCGCGAATGATGGACGCACCTCTATGTCAAATCATACAAAGCAAACTAAAATCCGTTGCGGGCCGTCCGGTGTGGTCCAATGAACGAGTACCTTCACTCAATTAATAGGAGAGTAATTTATTCTATAAATTAAATGACTTTACTTTGATGAGTCAGGCTTATTCACGTTCTTCACCGATATAGCGCTGTTATTTACAGTTGTTTGTTTTTATAATACTTATCAATATCGATTATAACTTTAAAATTAATGAAAGGACTACATCAGATGCAGCGTTGGATAATAAAATACACACCACACGTTCGTCAGTAGCGTTGCTCAGTTTTTTCTTTTATATCACCCATATTATAAGCAGACGGTTACATCGAGACAGAAGATAATCCCTTTTAAGGGATCAGAAAATCCGTATGTTTTAGTAACATTTGTTATAGGTTTTTTTAGCGGATTTTAAAAAGTAGGGTATTATCAATTCGTCCGTTTTTAGGATACCTCGAAAGAAAACGGAACCTTATAGGATCACTTTGTTTTCTGTCCGTCTGTCTGTCAAGACCTATTTCATGTGTTAAGGAAGAAGAGAAATTTCTTACTTTCGAGACTGTTTGTGATATTACTTTGTTACTTTTTAGTGCATTTTGTTTAACAATGTTTTTTTTAAAATGTTTTTTTATGAAGTCGTCTTTTTTTCCTATAATAAAACTAGTGGTCTAAGATGTCCTTAGCGTGGGATTAAATGAAACTTACTAGATTTTACGCTAGTCCAGACTTTAATTTATCTCAGTTGCAAGTTTCATCCAGATCTATTCATTTGTTCTGGAATTACGTGATAACAAAGATCCAAGCTACTGCTTTTATAATTTTAACTGGTAAGATTAAGAAATGAGATCATTTGTTTGTATCGGATAATTTTAAAAACTACTAAAGCGTTTTGAATTTAAACTCAATTTAAAAAGTTACATTTTTAGTGGAATAATTTATATTTTGATTTTGTATTTATATTTGTCGACAACTTCAAAGTCCGTATCGTAATTAGCTTTGTAAAGACATTAATCATTAAGGGATCTGATTTACTCAATTTCATTGACAATCAATGAAGGTCGGACCCGCATTTTGGTCCATGTAATTGAATTAATACGTCACTTGGAAGACGGAATTTATTCGATATTTGATTAATTACATTTCAAAGTGGAAATATAAAATAAAAAAGTTTTAGGAAAGCTTTTAAAGTACTCTTAAATCAACACCAAAGAGGATGTTATGAATAAAATTTAAAAAGATTTACTTCGAAACTTAGGACGTAAAAGACGAATGAAAAATGATTACACGGTTACTATTAGAGTTGCGACACTCTAAAAATGTGATATTAAATCTAGTAACTCGAGTATGTTTAGATTTATAAGAAAGGAAAAGTTTTAGATATAGTAAGTAGTCTTAGTTACAGATATTAGATCTTTAATGTATTGTTAATTATAATGAGGAAGCTCTGGTACAAAAACATATCTTACTAATATTTTAAATGCGGAAGTTTCGATGGATGGATGTTTGTTAGAAGCTATCTCCGGTACGGCTTACGTATCTTGATGGCACAGATGTAGAACATAGTCTGGAAGACCACATAGGCCACTTATTAAGTTTTTTTTTAAATTCTGCGTTGACGGAGTCATAAAGCTTTTAAACATTTAACTTTTAATATCTTATTTGCAGGTCTTCCTAACGATTTGTCCGTGTACTGGCACCAATATCCGTATAGTTTGGGTCTCGTGTTCTGCAAATTACGAGCACTTATATCCGAAGCGTAAGTTTGTGCAAATAAAATTGATTTTGTTGTATAGAAAAATATGTCCGGAGGCGTAATATTAATCAACTTTCACTTCCCACTCTTTTCTTACAAGGATGGGAAGGGGATTTCATGAAGGAGGTGACGCATAGGAAGGGAAATATTCTTTTTCTGTGCCTCTAATCAGCCGTTAATTAAAAGTAGGCAACGTATCTGCAATTGAGGATGTCTATAGGCAGAGATTGCTTCACGAATTAGGCGTATTCAAGTGGCTGCTTGCTCGTTTGCCACTTTATTATTCAAAAAAATATACTTGTATGTTTTTCGTTAAAACTTTTTCTTAATAATAATGAATGTTTTCAGGGCAACTTATGTGTCTGTGTTGACAATATCTGCGTTCTCATTGGAGCGATATCTGGCTATATGTCACCCGCTGTATTTGTACGCGATGGCGGGATTGACGCGAGCATCACGGATCATCCTTATCCTGTGGTTTATCTCCTTCCTGTGCGCATCACCGTTTGCTGTCTACAGCGAGATCAGCTATAGAGATTATCCACCAAGTAAATGAATTATAATTGGTAAAATAGAGACGGTTTTTTATGGAAAGTTTAGGACATTAAAAGACTGGGTTTCTAATGAAACATAAATACAAAAACATAATATCGTCCCTTTCATTGTCTTTAAGAAAATAGAGATAGAAAACTACTTTATAATACGAAAGCCTTTTTTAATACTATCGCCTTTCAATTTGCATAATGTTGTAAGGAAATAGAGTATATTAGTATGATGGTGACGTAATAAATAACGACGTTAGTTTTAGGAATATTTTCACTTATTAGTGATACCGCTATTTAGAGGTGTTCTTTATGTTAATAAAAGACGATTGCTGTGAGACAACAGAACTGTTCGACTATAAGATTTATTTCGGTCACCTACACACTAACCATGGACGTAAACTATTAACAAAACTGCCACTTAGAAATACTTTTGTCTATTAGTTTTGTTAAAGCAAATTAATGAACTAATGTAGACGTTCATTCGTAAAGATTATTGTAAGACTCCATTTGACCTTTGTCCAGTGAATTTAGGTTATGTTCTTAATTTTGGCGCCATTATTATAATGTTTATCTTCGACTCTCTTATAAGAAATATACTTAAGTTATACTTTAAGGGTTTTCTTAAGTTATACTACTATAGTTTAAATTTGTTTTGTACAGATTCAGGCAACATGTCGCTGAATTCCGCATTCTGCGCGTTGATGGCTCCGTCACCTCTTCTAGAACTAAGCAGTATTTTCTTCTTCTTTGTTCCTGCTGTTCTTATTCTCTGCCTTTATGTGACTATTGCGTTACACATCAGGTAAGAATTTTATTTATCTACATTTCAAAGGTGACAAGTGACATTTTACAGTGTGCCTAGCGCCTCTGTCGGCAATAAAGTGCACCAAATATCTCATACTTGTTTTAATATTATTGAATGTTAAATATAACGAAATATTATAAAAAATAAAATAAATCTTTATTAAAAATTTATTCTTATATTTTTAGGTCAACAAAGGTAACAAAAAAGTCAAAAATTGGTCTTTTAAATGGTCACGTGCACGGAGAAACAAAGCAAGCCAAATCAAGAAAAGCGATTATCAGGATGCTTGGTAAAAACAAAAGATATATATTTATCTTTACTAGAGCTTAATAAAATCTGATAGCCAATTTAATTATAATTAACATATAATATGTTAAAAATTTAACTTCTCGATTATTATAAATTTTATGGAGCTCCAAATCCATGACTGATCGAGGAAAATGGAGAGTTTAATGTCGGAGGCCAAGGCCCATTTCCTTCACCGTAGTTAATTAGTTCATTAGTTGCTTCTCGAACAAAAATCGACCCTTAAATATCGTGCTATTGGTTTTAATAAAGTCTTTTCTTTACAGTTGCTGTTGTGGTAGCATTCTTCGTGTGCTGGACGCCTTTCCACTTCCAGCGATTGTTCTACATCTACGGTTACGATCTACCTCAGTTCCACGTTATCAACGAACATCTTTTCAACGTCGCCGGGGCTCTTTACTACGTGTCTGCTACTGTTAATCCTATTTTATACAACGTTATGAGTGCCAGGTACTTTAGATTGATAAAAGTAGTTACTTATGCCCCTGAATTAATAAAGAATCTCGTAAGAGAATCAGTGACGCTTCAATGTGAAGCGTCAATAGCCTAATGATTAAGGGTACGGGTTTCAGATCACGAGGTCGGAGGTTCGAATCCCGCCATACGACTATTGTCGTAAACCATGTAGAAGTAAAAGCATTAAGCTTCATTTAAATCGTACAAGAAATATTAGTAAATAAACAAAATCTGCTAATAATTTATTTTAAAAAAAATTATGTACAGGGAGCGCGCGCAATGCGATACTCCCAAAACAAGGCCATATTACTTAGAGATTTACTTTGTCTTGTTACGTTCACCCACAGTCGGTGACATTGGTTTGTACCCATATAATAGAGGGTTTCCATTGCCGTTGCCGTCAGTAGAAACCAAAGTTAATCTAATATTGTTATTGTCCGTAGGTACCGTACGGCGTTTCACGAGACATTACTATGTCGTAAACGAAAGCGATTGGATTCAAGAACATTGGATAACACATGTCGAGACACTATCGAATTCTCTACTTATAACAAATCAAAGTATAAGAATCGTGACACACGAAATAGCATTGCTGTCAACAAAGTAGATTTTATAAAAGAACCGTCGCCATTTTGTGTCAGTGAAGCGATCAAGGTCGCTGAAACGGCCGCTTACTTCTTTAGTAAAGATGAGAAGAGAGTCAACTTGAATGGTGAAACAATCAATGAATTTAATTGAATTAATATATACATTGAGACATATTGTCATCCCGTTCATTCTCTTTGAAAAAAAAAGGTGATAACTATATGTGTCATATGTCACTCTTGTCGAAATCAACAGTGAAAGAGTATGTATGTATCGAATCTCAAATGAATCAATCGAATATAATTAAGTTGTTAATAAGAAATAGTCTTTAGAATTAATTTTATAAAGTTAAATTACGATACTTTAAAGTATTGCTGTTTAATTTTAAATGAAAACACGCGCGACGTCGTCCGCCTGAAATTAAAAAAAAGTAGTTGTCTATGTATTCTTATAGACTATATTCTACATCTTTGCCTTTCAGCGTGATCTGTTAAGTCGTGTTGGAGATGCGTAACAACCATCTATCTTAAATATAGCATTTATAATATTAAACTAAGATAATAGGATTGTCATCAATTTTTTTTTTATATCATAAGGTGGCAAACGAGCGAACGGCCACCTGAAATCGCTGAAAAAGCGAAGTGACCGTTGCCCATTGACCGTTGCCAATACTCTTCAGAATAGAAATGTAACTTAATTGTAAACTATTAATTGTATTAGTGTTTTATGGTAGTCAATTTAATGAAGTGTATGAAAAAAGTGAATTTAAGTTATTTAAAAAACATGCTAAATTGCTCAAAACATAAGTTTGTGTATGTTTAAGCAGTGTGACTAATACGTATAAGATATAAGTATAATACCACTATGTTACGGGCCGAAATAAAACTGTATGGAAATAAAACATATATATATGTAAATTGTTGTATATTACAGTATACTTATATTTTAAATCATAATAAATTTAGTTTATAAGTTTTTACGTGTATAATTATAATTCAATAGACTTCAAAGTAGACTTATTTTTTTCTACACTATGAATCTTATTTACGATTAAACTAAAACGTTTTATAAAATACTATAAAATTTAAAGCCATAGATTTAATTTATATTTCTATAAAATTGAATGTATGTAAATAAATTGCTGTTTATTTTATAATACATAAATCTGATAATGTTGAATAATAAATGTTATTAAGACTTTGTTTTTTTTTCTTTTCTATACTCGCGTCGTAAGAAAATATGAGGTTAGAAAATAACAAAAAGTTTCATGAATACTCCGTATTTTTGGCAAATGTCAACAGTTTGCCACAGAATAAATGAGCGAAAAGTATTCCCTCTGTTCGAGATAAATCGTCAGAAAATCACACCCATAGCCGACTTGACAAATAGCCTGGAATTCACGCCAAGAAAAATCTAAGGTCAAAAATATAAAACAATTCAAACTTCGCATGTTGTATCAAATGTGAAGCTTTCGACATTATATTTGTTAAATGTATCCAAAACAGAAATCATATTCTACTATAAAATGTCTTCAAAATGCGATTAAATTCTTCAACTGATAGAAACAATTTACAATTTTTTTTTTTACCATACGATAACCACTTAATGACGCGAATAGAAAGTTGACACGATTACAGACAAACTAACTGGTTGTCAACCTGGTGGACAAATAAAACTATTGGTTAATTATAAATCGATACGAGGTAACTCGTAAGTATATTTAAGAAAAAATCTCGTATAAATTAAGTGCTATGTTAGATATACGTAGTTTATTTGACGAAGATATGTTACCCGCAACTTAATACGAAATCCTTGAATAAAATATATTTCCGTGTGATGAATGATCCAGAGTAATAGATATAGATAGGATACAAGTTTTTCACCGGATTATTTATTCGAGTGAGACGATTTGGTGATTTTTTTTTTACATAAATATACTCTTTACTTTGTAAATATTTTCTTAGCGGCCATCACCAGCCAGTTTTTTTAGAGACGGAAAATATATTCTATACTTAATATCCTTTTCATAGCGCTAATAGCCTAATTGTTACAATATGATCTAGCAGTCTTGGGTTTGAATCACGTTGTTTAACGACTGTAGTAACCCATCGCCAGCTTCATCCTTATTTGGAATGATAACACAAATTTTTTTTTATAAAAATACTAGCCATCACCCGCGACTCTGTCCGCGCGGCATAAAAAAAATTATTAGTAGCCTTTGTTTTCTTCTAGACTATGGTTTATATGTACCTATGCACATTTCATCGAGATACGTTTATCCGTTCTGGAGATACCTTCAAACAAACATCCATCCTTTCATCCATCTAAACATTCACATTGATAATATTAGTAAGATTGGTTACTAAAGCAAATAATAAAAACAAAAGTTTTTATTAAATTTTCTAATGCGGAAACTTTGAATACAGACAGTTGACCTGACTTCAATTTCATTTAACCTTTCGATAGACGATAGAACATTGTAACATCTGTCGTTACGTGACAAATTGTATCAGTTCGTCTTTCTATCTTATGTCTAGGAAAGTACCTGATCGAGACTTTATAACATATACAGTGGACGTAAGAAATAAATACTAAATTATTGAAAACACGCGTTCGAATGTCACTCTTTATAACGTTTATATTACTATAATTGCTAAATGTAAATAAAAAAAGAATTTTATTAAGTAAAAGATGAGGTATTAATCTTTTTACTAACTTAATTCATTGATGATTGTAAAGAATAAGCAAAAACATTGGTACTGAATCGTTTTCTTCTGACTGTCATAGAAGCTACAGTCTGTCTTAATTATTGATTATTTTTAAATTACAACCAGTTATTAAAATGCAAGTACCGTCGTACCAATTAGTTAAAGAAAACGTTCTTAGACGCCGTGCCCTCGGGACTTAAAACTTTTATACAAAATTAAAATTTCCTTATTACTGTCTAGTCTTTTAAAGTCTTCATTTAATGTCATGTCAACGACTTTACTAACGTTTAGCGAATTTGTAAAGAACCTGCAAAGTTTCATGAAAGTTGTGAATAAAATACGTAATTTGTTTGATTACTTTAAAATTTTGGCTGTTCTCCCGATTGATTAAAATTCATTTAGAATAATATTGTCAACGCAGCTGAGATTAACAATATGTATGGATGATGGATGGATGATAAATATTAAGAGCACAAGAAAACGACGTGTATTTTTTATAAAGAAGGGGGCAAACGAGCAGCTGGAACACTGAGGTGTACATCAGTAATACCAGAGGAACAGCAGATGCGTTGCCGGCCTTTGAGATGGTGATATGTTTCCTTCTTAAAGGAACTTAAGTCGTAGCGTTTCGGAAATACGAATAGTATGTAGGAGAAGCGAAAGAGTTGTGTCACGACCGCGTCAAATGGAAACTCCTTGGCCTCTATTTACCCCTCCCAATCCAAGGCGTGGGTTATGTTTGTTTTATGAAAGTGATTGTATGGATGTTTAATTGGATACTCGCAATTATTAAGTAATGCAACGCAGACAATACCCAACACTATATCCAATTTCAAGTGAACGATTGAATATATTAAACATAGAAACGTCATTTCATTCACTAAACAATTAGGTTAGATTTGTTTGAAATGCGATAAAAATGACCTCGTAAAATTCTTCGTACATTTTTCAGACCGGTTTAAAGGCCGGAAACACATCTGCGGTTCCTCTGGTATTGCTGATGTCCATGGGTGTCATTGAACACCTTGGTGTCCATGCTGGTCGTTTGCCGACTGTTATAAAAAAAATTGAGACTTGATTTTTCTTGACACACTTAAATATACGAGACGACTGGATCGAAGTATTTCTAATGTTTGTATAAATATTTTTTATATAAATTATAAAACGTAAAATGTGATCTCATTTAAATTTTATGAAATATTCATTTTCATGGCATTGGTATATTTATTTAGTATTTGAGTACTACAAATATATATATATATATATGTTCTGATATGGTAATTTCCTATAAATATTATAACTTATCTGTATATACATTTATTTTAAAATAAAGTAAATATTTTATCTCTTTGTTTCTTTGGAATGAATAATCCTTTTTTTAAAACTATCTCCCGAAGGACAGTCTTTCTTAACTGATTACTTGTCACATCTCGTGCCAACTTCTAAAAGTTAATACTTTAAGCTTTTATAGGTTATATCTTTTATTTTTAAAAGATGGATGTAGGTTTCACCACCATTTCATATTTTGCTACTCTTTTTTTATAATCAAAATAGACATTCTTATTATGAATATTTATGACGAAGTCAGTTCTTTGAAATACTTTTTTTTATTTATTCGGCAACCTAAATAAAATTAAAGCAGAATGCATTACATTAGTGTAGTAAATGTTTGATGAACGTCTCAATAAATGTCTTACCGTTGGTTTCTGACACCAAAATATCTGTATAAATGTCATCATTTTTGAAAAGATAGCGATAACAGTATATTTTAAACGGAGATTTTAATCTCGGTAACCCACGGTTAGTAAAAATTGTAATTGGTCATCATTTTTTATTTCAATATTTCGTTTATTTATAATTTTAGTAAACTTATTTTAAAAATACTTTCCACAAGTAAAAGTCATTATCCGGGACTTGGTAACTTAAAAATAATCAAGGTATTAAATTTATAACTTCTATACAACTTAATTGTCTGAAATTCAATGTTAATAAGCCATTACTTGGTCTATAAAGACGTCTAGTCGGTGACCATAGACTGTGCAAACTGAGCAATATACACTAATATAAAACGAAAGAGGTTAACAAAATTATCATCATGATATTAATACGTAAAGCGAAAAATTTGACACAATTTATGTATGAAAAAAAATGTAGAGAAGAATAATAAAAAAAAAACTGACAAGTGTGAAAAGGACTCGCGCCACAAGGGTTCTGTACAAACCTGTAGGTATATATATCTATAAGTAAGAGTTCACCCATCACGACAACGAGTTGTTGAGTTAAAGTAGTTGAATAGGGTAAATCATTATTAATTACAAATTAATATAGAGTTAAGTAATTCAATAATCAGTTTATGTATATATTTTTAAGTTATTAAATTTTATATAATATATAAGCCATAATAAATGGTTACATGTTGCATAATTAAGATCTTATATGTATTCT